GGAAGCCCTGTTCTCCACACCCTATGATGGTTATTTCCCGCAAGCCTATGAAATATGGCTTGGAATATAGCCAAGGAGAGGCGCTAAGTCCGGACTACATGGATGTGCAACCTTTTAACATGGTCTGCCCGAATCGTTGATGATTTCTAGGCATGTTTTGTGGACCTGTCAGAAAGAAGCTCACCTTTGACAGTGATTGTAGGGATATCCTTTAATGTAGGTCTTTACTATTGATATTACTCCAATCACAGTCGCCCAGGATATATTTCGCCTTGAGGCCGGAACCATGAATTCTTTATAAGGATATAATTGTGAAGTGTCAAGGTTGATATATATACCCAATGTATTCCTAAGTACATGGGATAAGAGAAGTTCTGTTTGTTGACCCGGCCAAGAATTACACCAGCAACGAGGGGAAAGAACAGTCAGCTATTAGACATAGGAGGTATTTCAATAACATCCTAGGACAGCGTCATACTGGTGAATCGGAGGGCCGCCCTCATTGTGCAAGAGAATGTCAACGTATTTTACGAGCATGTCATAGCCCTATTTCTCCCGTACGGGATCCATGGTGCTTTTATCCAATCTGAGACCAGGGAAATGAAACTTCACACCTCTCCGAAGCCAAGCTGGTTTCTTTATCCATTGAATCGCATTGAATCGCACTTCTTGTCAGAATCTAGTATAGTGCCCCCCTGAGCTACTAGTTCCATGGATCGCCTCTTGATTGGGGCTCCGACCGCAAGAGAACCCCATCAAAAAGTTCTAATACATACAACGTACAACGTCAGTGGCCCGTATCACTAGCCCGTCATTCAGGGTCCACAGCGGAGTCCCGGGTTCGAGTATGGCGAACCAGATCAATGTGTCAAAATACGGCTCCAGATTTAACACCAAACCAATGACATGGATGACAGTATTTATATATAATGATTGCGATACTATACGTAGAGTAAGTAAAGCAATGACTATATTGTTTTATTCGTATCGCAATATGAGTTCTGTCGCCTATCTGAACGGCCACGTCTACACGGTCAACCCTCGTCAGCCTTGGGCTGAAGCTTTCATTGTCGATGAGTTGGCCGGAACCTTCACTGCCGTGGGCAACACTCAGGAAATCCGTGGCATAGCTCGAGAAAACGGGATTATCACCTACGACCTTCGAGGCGTCTTTGTAATGCCTGGGATCCACGATGCGCATACCCACTTACTGGCGGCCGCAATGCAGAAACTGAACGAAGCTGCCATTTCGCCAGACTCAAACGATCACACACTGGCCACTAATCTCAAAAATGCGGAATGTCTTTGTTCCTACGCCCATGTGTTTGGAGATTGGTTGGTTGCCAATTTTTACGCACCAGATAGATTCCCTGATGGTGAGAGGTCCACAGCCTCAGGGGAAAGAATATACTGACAGAAACCATAGGACAGCCGGACCGGAAGTATCTTGACGAGGTCTTTCCTGATCGGCCTGTCCTGATCCGCGAGACTACATGTCATAGCATCCTACTGAACACGAAAGGCTTGGAAAGGGTAGGCTACGACCTTGACAACCCCACTGATCCACACGCGGGCGCTTTCATCCGACGCAAGGGGACGATGGAACCTACTGGAGAACTTGTCGAAGCAGCAACAGAAAAGGCCTGGGTTACCATTCCTCTCCCGTCTTTACATCATGCTAAAAAGGCCATATTATATGGAATCCACATCTCTCATCCATACGGCATAACCTTATGTCAGGAGGTCTCGGCAAATAGCGTGTATCTCCACGCTCTCAGGTAACTCGAAGCTAAGAATGCTTTGCATATGATGATATTTCCTCATATTGTCTGTGCTCCAGCGTATAAAGGAGGAGACACGGATTACAATCTCACATCCACATTTGACGCCGCTGCGTCTTACCTCAGCAAGCATGTGGATCCATGATTCGTGAAATTCTGGCTTGATGGCGCACCGATACCTCCTCACTTTTCGCAAGCCGACTTGCTTGAAAATGGAAATCCGGATGATAAGAAGCTGCTAGTGGAAAAAGACGAGCTTGTTCACCTGCTGGAAAAGTATGATGACCGTGGATTTACCTGCAAGGTACATTGCGCCGGGGCAGGGAGTGCCAGGTATGCCTTGGATGCTATTGCAAGTTTCCATTGTCCATTGGATTGATATTATGGTTGAGGAACGACTCGAATCAATTTTTGGTTAATGATTGGCTCTATTTGGAATCGAAGATCTATACGAAGATAATCAGTATATGTATCATAACAGACAGGCCTGCGCACCAGGAAGCTTATACATGTAATTAGGATATCAGGAACATTACTTTATGAACAGAATATATACCTGAACTCTAAAAGATAAATTCCAGTCAAAGTGAATCTGTACAAGGTATGGAATACCATGAAACATGTATAAACCAATATATATGTTGCACCGGGTCAGTAGAGCCAGAGGGAACCGATTGGTGTGGAGGCTCAAACTCAACTCTCACGCACCCTAACTGTGCAGCCATAGCAAAGTAATACCTTACCAACCCATAACAGAAAAGGCCTGAAAGGCAATGGTACTGCTGAAGATAGCGGCCTCAGGCTGCTAGATACTGAACCACGAAGTTCTAGCAAAAGTTCTTTTTGATTTACCTCCAAGCAATAACAATACTCAATATATAGTATTGGTTGTAAAATCTCTAGGATGCTTGTAGTTACAATGTGATAGTGATTGTCGACTCGTCCTGAACTTTCTCTGGAAAGTACCGATGAATCGATAGCCTGCACATATTGAGATCATTATTGGAGAAGAGAAAAGGATGAAAAAAAAATGGACAGAGAGAATAGGGCACACTCACGACCACTTTATATTGCCAACCATCATGTTCTTACATCCCCGAATTAGATACTGGATATCCTTTTTGGCATTGTCACTCGACTCGTTGTATTGATTTGTACAGAGGAGCCGTTGCTCTGCTGCGACAAACTTCTTTCTTGACCTCGTTAAATCACCGATAACTTCGTCCAGGGCAATTTGCGCGTTAATATGCCCATCGTGATGCATCTTCAGGGGAACAGCACTGTCAGATTGATTGACTGCCTATAAACAGGGTTAGTATCTCCTTGATCTCGGTTAGCACAAAACACATACAACTTCCTTTTTCAACGAGTAGATATCATTGATCCTAAAATATTTTCATCAGCACTCTTACCGAAGGTAGGATCTGTTTCACTGTATTGTTAACTAACATAAATATTGAAATTGAAGTCTCCCGGAACATGACCGTCATGGCTTCATGTTCATAGACCCAAGACGGGATTGATAGGTCATATGCATATCTAACGCGAAATTAACATTGAGAAACTTAGCTAAACAATGTGTCTGCATAGATTTATCTTACTCCATAGCCATGAGGCAGGGGTAGACTCCGATGGTATCGAGTCGGCCTTCTACATAATCTTCCCACCTTGGAATGCAGACTTCACGTTGCTTTTGTACATCGCAGACTGCAGCGACGTACTGGTACATGGAGTCCGCGTAGCGGCGCAAAGCCTCTTTTTTAGTTTATTAGCAAGTCCTAGCTACAGTTCATCGTTCACAGCGACAGGCCTGTGGTTGCCTACCTTTCGACTGCCCTCTTTGCAAGGCCACTCCAATTTCCTCAAAGCAATCCGTATGGTGCTCGGTACAGAAAACAGGGCGTGGCAAACGGTTCGGATAATAGCTTTCTGGCTCTAAGCACCATTTTAAAAAGCTTACCGTGTCTCTTCCATACTGGATAGTTCTTTCTTGATCAAATCTCAGCTTCCCGCAGTCAATTTCTAAACCCTATATCAGATAGCTGATTCACAATACTCAAGCAGCGAGTTTTATAGAGAATTCACCATCATCCCAAGGAAAATACTATGAGAGTTAGTGTGGATTAGCAACTTTCTTCTACTCTCAGTAGTATCCCTTACCCAATTTGCGAACTGCGCCACCGCTCGAAACCGTTCTAAACTGCTCCCAGCCCAGAAATAGGCAGCGAGTTGCACAAAGTCGCCGTCTCTCAATATCTGCAGTTTCCGACTGTCCCGGTACCATCTACGGTTTCGATTTCTGCTCTTAGCGTTCTGTGCTTTCTGTTCCTCCAAGAGACGATAACCACTAACCGTGGGCCGAATTCTTCAAGTATTTCTTGGCGAATCTGAGACTCATTCAAGTGTCTTTCCACAGTCCAGTCCGGGTAAAGCAGAGACGCAAGATCAGGGATGCGCAGAGTTTGACCCCGTAAGCCCTCCAGAAGTGGGGTACGGTCATCCATCCGTATATGCGTTAGCGACATAGGGCAACTGGGTAACCGGAGTATGATAGAGGTGGAATGTTATTTCGGATGTGAGGGTATTAGGGTTATGCCGTGTATCTGCTACCATGAACATTAGCAGGTTCAGATAACTCAACGAAACTCCGCACATATGGATATCGAAGGCCGTAGAGCGGATTGGACAGAGTATTTTTAATATCTTGCTAGGTGGCAGCATTGCTCTGTGAGGGATTTATCCGGATAGATCTAAGTGGGACGCGGCAATCGCATCACAGGGAAATGATCTACAAAGATCGAGGCTATACACGGCCTTCGGTACATCGCCGGAAAGACTTAGCTTTATAGAAATCGGTTTGTCTCAAACCTAAATCTATTAAGCGACCTTCTCTGCCGTGCAACTAACATACCTAAAAATTGCAGGCCCAATGACGCGATAGCAAAGACTTACCTACTTGAGATAGTGATAATCACAGACCTCCACCAAAGAAGATGATTGGAAAGTAATGAGTTGAGCGTTCATGCGTGATTCCAGGTTGCCTCGTCGCCTGACGAACGCCATAAGTTGCAGCATCTGCGAGGAAGGTCTTTGATAAAGTTTAAATCCACGTCTACGGTATTATTTTCCAGCAATCATTATGTGTATCCTGTGCTTAGTCTACTATAGATAAGAAATAGACAGTGTTAGATCTATCATCGCCTGATTTTGGACCTTTTTTTCGTTTTGATTTGATTCTTTTTCTTCATGCCGCCAGCGTGAACTGTGCTTTCTCGACTTTCTTGCTGATATTCAAATTCGAGAACATGATCCTCATTCTTATTCTGCCTTTCGCTATTATTCTGGGTTTCCTTCTGCAGAGGAGAACAGGATATGACAGACTTCCTCCTGGACCACGCCCACTACCATTCATTGGAAATATTCATCAACATTCCATCAATAGTGCACCTTGGGAGCAATGGTACAAGTGGCACAAGCAATATGGGCCAATAATCAGTTTCAGGCTAGGACAAAGAACCATCATCTCGATCGCCAACCATAAAATGGTCGGGGACTTGCTAGAGAGGAGAGCTCGGATATATTCATCCCGCCCACAACTTATCATGCTCAACGAGTGGCTGACCAAGGGGATGCTCGGGGTGTTCATGCCATATGGCCCAAAATGGGAATCACTTCGCCGACTGAGGATGCCACTGCTCAGTTCACAAGCAGTTAGCGCGATGGAGATTCTACTTGATGTTGAAACTCTACGGCTGATCCGAGCGCTAGAGAGTAACCCCCCTCCCACGCAAGTCATTCTTACCCAGTTCTTGCATAGCTTTGCCTCAACATTGCTCTACGGTGGCACGGTTGAATTTAAAGATGATGGCGACGTATTTCGCGGGTTTAATGATTTTCAGGAGGAGCTGTTGTCCTTTGCTCTAACCAGCGATGCTGTTATAGAAGTATTTCCAAGTCTAGTGCCGCTGCTGGCTATGTTCGGGAAGTTTGCGAAATCCAAGAAACGGGGGACAAGGTTCCATTCTACGCTGCTGCAAACGTTTCATGCGAAATTGGATTATGGACTGCGCCAGGAGTCGTGGAACCTTGCTAAAGAGATCTGTGGTTGTCAGCCTCCCGATATTACCCGCGATGAAGTGGCCTATTTTCTGGCGGAGCTGGAGCTTGGAATAGTCGAAGCCACGTCAATGATGTTGAAGCATTTTGTGGACATAGCAACTGAACAGCCAGACGCATTTGCAGCAGCACAGAATGAGATAGATACGGTTGTTGGGACTCAAAGACTGCCCACAGTCGAGAATAGGGAGAAATTGCCGTATGTCAACGCTCTGATCACGGAGACGATGCGCTGTAAGACGCTAGGGCCGATGAGTATCCCTCGCGCAGCCACACAGCAGGACGAATACATGGGATATACTATTCCGCGCGGCTCAACAATCATTTTGAATCAGTGGGCGCTGAACAACGATGAGGATATCTATACCGACCCATTCATGTTCAAGCCACAGAGGTGGATCGAAACGCCAGAGCTTCCCCAGCCATTTGCATTCGGAGCTGGGAAACGCTTATGTCCTGGACAATCATTAGCTCAAAACATCCTATTTATGTCCGTGTCCCGTATCCTCTGGGCGTTCGATATCGACCCGGTGGCGGATACTATCGTCACCCATAAACGCCAATCATGGCTTTTGTGTGAGCCAAGTGACAGAAATGTTGTGTTCCAGTTTCGCAGCTCAGAGCAAAAGGCAATTGTAGAGAATAAATGGGATGCCGTAGCCAAGGACAATAATTGGGTTCTTGGGATCATTCACAAATGTTGGATGCGCTTGGAGCGGTAACTATTACCTCCTTTCGCAAATCGATCCTTGAAATTACTCCACTACAACCAGTTGATGTAGAATGTTAATGACCGTAGGTGGTGGGCACAGTGGAATATTATTACTTATTCATGTGGCGAGGAGAGTGTTTTTGATAAATGTATAACCGAGCATTCCTTGACGGGTGGGAAGCCCTATGGCTAGAGAAACCCAGAGTCTGATCCCGGTAATCGCCACGAAGTATATTATACCAAGATCAAACGATATACTATCCTATACAATCCTCTGCAGCCATAAAACGAGTACATACGACCATAGGGTGTGGAGAACAGGGCTTCCCGTACGCTCAGCCGTACTTAAGCCACAGTAATCTCCGCACCCAATTCTGAATGAGCCTTTGATCCTAAAAAAAATCTGAAACGACTGCAGAATATCTCTTGGCTTAGGTGTGGGCGATGGGGGAGCTGTCCTAATATAGGTTAGCAGCATCAGCATCCCGGAGCACCGCGGAGCACCAGCAGCTGCACCCAGATCTTGACTCGGAACGACGGAAGCTGTATGGCAGGAAAGCAAAAAGACTTGAGGCCACATAGCGTGACTTCATCGCGCAGTGGTGGGAGGGATCTTACGATGAGTACATTGCCGGGAACGACTTTTCAGCGCGCAAACCAAGGGTATAGGGAGTAAATCAACTCGAAAGCCCGGACAGCAACACTTGAATAAAGAACAATATGACGCTATAATTGACTATCTAAGAACGTACGATAGAACTGGCGCATTGTTGTCTACCTCAGATATTCAAATTGGGTCCAATAATATCTTTCATTATAATTCTCCTAGGTCTTTTCAACTGTATCCTATGACTCGGCATGTTCAACATTCAATGTCACCATGGTTGAGTAAGACAGTCAAGCGTGCATGTGATTGCACAGAGGGGCGATAATACCCATGGTAGCCAAAAGTCTCATGATATCCCAGGCTTCCAGGTAGAGAAAATCGGCAATCCTGGTATGACTGTACCTGGTCGTTCGTAGATTACTACATGTCATGAAAGCCCTCCCTATATAGCCCGAGCTACCCATGCCCAAATAGCTTGAGGCTAGGGGCTTCTTTCTCCAGCAGGCAAACCCATTCTGCTATAAGTTGTGTTGCTTGGTGAATCCGATGAGGCAAAGCAGCTTGAATTGACTGAGTGATTTAGCTATGGAACTAAGTGTAAAGTATATGCACGTGTTATATATGCCAGAAGAACGATTGACCATGCAGTCTATCTCCCCATTTGTGAGAACCTTGTAGTAGTGGGGAGGAACTCGAAGGGAATGCAGCGGTGTATGGATCAGATGCCGTTGGGAATGACGGGCAGGCTGATCCAGTTATCGTAATTGGCCCCGAAGTGCACATGATTGTTCCCTTTAAAGACGGTTTCTGGCCTGTTAAATGGGTGTTAGTTATCCATCCGCTATAATTGACACAATTCTTCGGTCATAGCTTACCTGTCACTTGGGTCATCATGCTGGAATAGACCACTGCCAGCCAGTTCAGATGCGCCAATATCGAGGACCAGGCGCTCATCTCTTTGCACCACAACGTTTGTAGGCCACAGTTCCACATCCACGGTGTAGACCTCATTGGGGATCACTGGAAGGACATCGGTGGAGAGATAATCGCGATGAGGCAGCCAAGGGCGATGCCGAGGGTGCTGAGGGTTCGTCCGTCGCAAACTCACCCTCAGGGAGCCCTTCGTAATAGGAGCTGGCTCTCCCGTAGTCCCCGTGTAGAATACTTCCTCACCAGACGATGCGATGTGACGGAGAGACAGGAACAAATCCATGTCGGAAGGCGTGGTCGACTGCCAGCGACCGCGGCTCATGGAAACGTTGAGCCGGACCACAATGTGGCCGGTGATCTCTGTTTCCGACTCAAATTGGGGTGAGGTAAAGGACACAGAGGGACGGCAATTGTCACCGTCTCCAAATGCATGATACTCCACCTTGTGCGGCATCGTCAGATCTGTTCTCGGTTTAGTCCAAGAGAGAGTTTCATCACGATGGAGAAACAGAGGCGTATACTGCGTCCGGGCAATGGGCCATTCATTCTCCTTCCTCCTCAAGAACTTGCTCTCAGATTGAGGATCATTGTACCCCACGTTTCCTTTTCGCAGAATCAAATCGACCGGTGGGACAGCTCCCTTCCTCGACCAACCTACACGGTCCTGGCCCAGTAGAAAGGCGTCCAAGAAGCTGCGTTGAATCTCGACTTCTTCAGTATAATAGAAAGGAAGGTCATGCCGTCCAACAATGAAACGGAGATACTTGAAATCCGATCCCGCATGGGTGTAGCCCTGCACATTGCCGCGAAGGTGGAGCAGGATCCCTCCCAAATTGGCAACACTAAGCAACGGTACCTGAACGTCTTCAAGGTTGAAGTTTACCGACGCGTAGTGATCGCCATCTCGAAACCGGGCCTCTCGCGCCCGGTCAACGAGGGTAACCCGACTCATGGCCAATTCAGCCTCGGACAACGACCCCTCAATAGTGTCATCGCCCCGATTTCGTGCAGCTCGTCCCGGGAGGCCATACTGATTCGGACCGATCTGTCTCTTGAAGATTCCGTCGATACCTGCGTTGCAGAGAATCCCACCGTGTCGGGTAGCATCGCGGTAGAAGTCGGAAAAGCCTTCCCACGGCACAATGGCAGCCAAACCCTTGGGTCTCCGAGCCGCGACTTGCCATTGGGTCGCACCAAAATAGCTGATTCCCAAGAGACCGACTTTGCCGTTACTCCAGGTTTGCTCGGAGGCCCACTCGATCAGCTCACAAAAGCTATCAATCGTGGTTGGTGAGAGGCAGTCGAGGAAACCAGGAGACTGACCCGAGCCGCTCTCGTCAGCCCTAACGACAACATAGCCATGCTTGGTCCAGTAGCTCGGAGTTGGCGTCTCCCAAGCTGAGTGTTCCGTCTTGTGGTCTGGGTTAAGGTCTGCATAACTCGGACCGTTGAAGCTGCAAAACTTGGTTACCAAACTGAACATGATGTGCCGCCGCTGAAACCTACTAGTGATAGTGCACGTCCTTTCCATAGGGACCATATGTGGCAAGAACCGGGTGCTTTTCACTCGGGTCCGACGTTTTTGGCCGGTAGACATTGCAGCGGATGAAGCTCTGGTTTTTTAAGGGAACAGACACGTTCTTCTCGAAGATGTATGGATATGACGTCGTATCAACCGACGACGCATCGTTCACCTGAGCCGCCATTCTGAACTGGTGTCGTTGGACTGATTCACTCGAGCTGTTTGTGGTGCTCTGTTTCTTCCATGAGTGCGACTTGGGTATAAGGCGACCTATATAAGTCAATGAGCAATCAATGCCCTGGTTGGCGTAGTTCTGAGCCCGTCCACTGTTCCGCAGAATGCAGCAAACAGCGAATGAGACGATTTACCGGCAGAGGCCTTCGGGTTCGGCATTTCGGCATTCGATCCCCTGCCTACTTTAACCCTATCTCCGCCCGCAAACGCCGCTCTTGTTATGTGGGGCGATGCCGGTAGCCGATGGTTATCCTGCAAGGGTATCAATTCAGTGTTTGTGTACACTTGACGTAAGGTAGCATCCTCTGTCTAAACTCCCAAAGGATGGTTTTCTCCTCATAGAGTTCGGAGCTCTGAATGGATATTAGATCAGAGTGGATAATCTATGCTTAAGACGGGTTCGTCACGATATCAGATTGTAAATTGTTGCTGTCACTATATAATACAACTCGGAATAGCACTTAGGACTTTGCCTCTGCACTGACCAAACCCAAGCACCACCTCCCCGGTCCTCTTGTTCCGACACCAACCTTCCATAATCACCTCATCACCATCCTGCAAAAAGGTCTCATGTAAGTCTGAAGGCGCAGACTTGAGCATCGTCCGAGGAAGACCCCGCTCGACGAGGCAGCCAAGACCTATCTTTTCACCATCTGAGTTCGTGGTCTGTATTGCAAAGTTAGTGGATACTAAATCCAAGAGTGGAAGGGCCTAGAGCGAATTGTCATTACGCTAGAAGATATTGTCCCGGTTCCAAAGACGTCTCCTGTTAATAATCCCTCCCCGGCCGATGCCAAGTGCGCCAGCTGTTGGATGGGCGTCCAGTACAGCGTATTGAGATTGCTCTCACAAAGTCTATACGGCTTCTCATCTCCTGAAAACAGTACCATTATCCTGCTGGTCTCTCGAAAAGATAGCGGAAACATTGGAATCACTTACGGAGCAACGTGACGGATAGGTCAATGTCGTAGGTCAGCGCCGCATCGTCCCGAGGCATCAGATGGGGCATTGGCAGAGGGTCTTGTTGCACCATTTTCTCGCACTTGAACGGCTCCAGAGCCTCAATCGGCACGATCCAGGGACTCACTGACGTCAAGGAGCCTTTGGAATGGAAGCAGCCTAGAGGCGTCATTTCGAATTTCTGGATCTGTCTGGACGACCAATCGTTGAGGAGTGTGAACCCAAAGATGTGCTCCTTGGACTTGGCGATGTCCAGTCGCTGCCCTCGTGGCACGGGGGTCGACAGCCACACCCCCATTTCTAACTCGAAGTCGAGCTTGGATTCGGGTTGGAATGAGACCACCCCGGTTTGAGGATCGGGATACATACCGTAAGGCCGGGTGACGGGAGTACCTGAAACCGCAAGGCTTGAGGTGCGACCATTGTACACCGACGGGATGGAGAACCAGTTGGACGACATCTTCATCTTCATGACCTCTGTGCACTGGCAAGTATTAGCCACTCGCAGGAGGAAGGGAGCAGAGGTAAACGAACGTTCTTTGCATGCTCGAGAGAGCAGTAGAAGTCGGAGAAGTTATGTGTATGCATTGGTAGGTGGTTTTCCACGTTGGACAGTGGAACCAACGCCTTGTTGATCGTCTTATCCAAAATACCACATCGGATTCGGGCCCTGACGGTCGCTCGAGTGCTTAATGGTAAAACAGCAAATACGTTCCAATTGTCCTGGACTGCGTCAGTCCCCATGCCCTGATTGAAATCTCGGGCAGAGTTCATCTCAAGGGACTCACTTCGGCGAAGACATTGACATCTAGTTCTGGGATGGATGCAAAGAAGTCATGGCGGTAGAGTAGATCCAAATCTATGGCGAACTGCTGGAACGCGACCGCACAACGTTTGCTCGAGTTGTCATGGGTGGAGATCACGCCGTACGGGAGATTATCAATGGTGAATGGAGTCATGGTCTCTGTCTTTTCGTTGCTGGCCACCGCTTGATCCTGGCGGGAGCTGGGGAGCGGTACCTGGAAGTATATAGCCCGGGCCGTGTATCGTATACATAAAATACACGCTTTGACCGGCGTTGGACGGAACATCAGGTGATTTACCGAGCGTACATTCCCCGAATATCTGTCGTCGTCATTTCCCGAACGAACTCACCGCCAGCGACACTTGGTCTCTTGATTCTGTCCGATGTCTGGGAGGCCTAGACGATCGTGTGACGCCTGTAGCATTCAGAAAGTGAGTCTCCGTGGTCCTAAACCGCACCTTATGGGCGTGAAGTATCTGATGTCAAAGCATCGCTCAGTTGCGATGCTGTGGCCAGAAACCCACCTGCCAGAGATGCAGGCGACTTGGCCGGCCTTGCATCTATCGGCCGAGGAGGACAACAACTGCAGCAGCGACGGCAGCAGCAGAAGTAACAACAGCAACAAGCTCGCTCACTGCTCGTGGTATCCAGCATTCCTCCCCGTCGCCTGTCTTGTCTGAGCCTTCTCTTTCGCGTCTCCACATACCGGAAAAGCGGTACTTTGGAGTCCCCGCCTCGTTACTCCCGATTTTGATAGACCTATATTATACTCACCTCTACAATGCGTCCCTCCTATTGTACAGGCCTTCCCTGACTCGAGCTCTCGAACTGGACACGATCCGAACTGATGTGCTGCTGAGTATATGCGCCTTGGCTTCCCGGTATGCAACCTCTGCTTCCTTATCCTGAAAATCGCCCTCGGCCCTAACCATTTATCGCCAGGTTCTACACGGACTCGAAAGGTGCGGCGGTCCTGCTTGACAGTCACTTTGATCGCGAATGGGCCGAGGCAGCGGGTCGGATGGCTCTTCGCGAGGTGGAGTCCCCAAAATCTGAGAATGTCGTTGTGTTTCTCAACCTAGCTCTCTTCTGGTATAGCCACGGCCAGTTTCGACGGTCGAATATGCTTACCGGTACGTCTCATTGCATGATTCAGTCTCATGACATACAAAGCATGTACACGCTTATTTAACTCGCAATTAGGTTGTGCGTCAAACACCGCTTGGGTCCTGGGCGTTCCTCCTGACGAGAAAAGCAACGGGAGTTCTCTAGACTCCGAGATGCAACGGCGACGATTCTGGGCATGCTACCTACAATGCTCGTTCCAGGCTGACACACTCTTTCCGAAGATACCTACAGAGGGCATGCTGAACATCAGACTTCCGTGTAGCGAGTCCGAGTTTCAACTGGGAAATCCTCAATCGAGTATCACGTTAAAGGATGTAGAGAGCACGCAGAGTATTTATGCCGAGCTGATAAGGGCCATGGCCCTGTGGTCATCCGTCGTTCTTCTCATCAAGCAAACGGGACTCTCCCTAGCAAGCCGTTTGGCCGAGATGCAGACCCTGGATGGGCGCATTCACGAGGCCTGGTCAAAACTGGACCCGTGTTTCCATTTGGAATGCACGCGAATGGAGGCAGTGCCCTCCCATGAATTACCAAAATTACTTTTGTTGCATGTGATTTATCATCAATGCCTCTGCTCCCTGCATTCGTCCATAGTCCCCCTCTTCTCCTGGAGTCCTTGTGAGGGTGTTTTTGCGTACGCGCAACAATTATCTGCACAAACGGCTTTTGAACACGCCAACTCTGTGTCGGCGCTTCTACGTGCCTCCTTGGAGCTAGATTGGGACTGTCGAAGAATGCCGAGTTTCATCGGCTATGCTGCCTACTCTGCTTGCGCTATCCTGACTCCCTTCATATGGTGCTCGCAGCCAAATGTCAGGCAGCGCGCGGTATCTAGCATTTTGGCCAGTTTGAAGACGCTACAGATCCTTGGAAACCACTGGGCGTTTCTGGGAGTCTTGGTACGATCATCCTTGTTCTTTCTGCTCTTATGTTAGCGAAACTGATGGATTGCCCACAGGGAAGGTTTGCCTGCGGTCTGTACAAGGTGCACGCGAGTGACCCATTCCCACTGGCTGGTGAGCCGAAAAGCATGACCCCCGACGCCTCAGGGAATTCAAACCGGCCAGTCTAAGAGCGCGGCTTTCCATTTTAACACACAATTCGATCATCATCAGCGATCAAGGCTCAACCGCGCAGGGTACGGATGACATTGGGGACCTTGGACTTGACAATGCGAACTCTCGAGAATCCGGGCCGGCGGAAGAGAATCTTGCTGGATTTATCGCTCAGATATCGAGTGAGGTCGGTGGTGCAGGTTGTGAGTTACCCATTACGATCAACCCGTTTCTACATCTGGAGGCTGTCGGATCTTCTCTTTTGGACGGCAGTTTCAACCAACCGATGATCGGGTCTGACATGGCTCAAATCGGGCATATTGAGGATTGTATTCTGGAGCTGCTGCGGCATGAAGGTCTGTTACAGCAGGGAGCATCATGAGTACGGGTTTTGTTGTATTTTCACATATCAGCGCAATCTACCCTTGAAGTCCACAACTTCTGGCGACGGGCTCGACTCTACAATATTATGGAACCATCAGATCATAGGAGTCGTAAGTCAAAAGCAAGTTAAATGCAAACAGGTTCTTTAAATACGATCGTGAGTGGGGAAGTGTCTAGAAAGTGGTGCCTGTCTTGTCGGACTCATTACATCAAACCCTTCTCCAGTTCTAGTCGGCATTCCCACCAGAGGAGACTGCATTCTTCGAGTAGCCCGTGGCTCCAAGAACCTTCTCTCCAATCGTGACCGGATGAGCTGCTGTTATGTTCGGGTTAGCTTCAGCCCATGATGCGAGTCGTGCCTGAGACCTCGTACCAGAGAGTATAAAATACATTCTTGCAGGCTTATCGGAGTAGTTTGTCCATCCGTGGATGGTACCTCGCTGAATGCAAACATCGCCGGCCTTCATGTCCACCCGAACTCCATCATCGAGGTGACTGCAATGGAGAAATTGGCTTAGAAATCGTATAACGTGATGAGCATCGCATGGACATACCAGGTAATCTCCCCGCTATGCAGAATCCCGTAATCCAGAGATTCTGTCCGATGGAAGATCTGTAACGGAGACATCGTCAGTTCCAAACTTCGCCAGCCGGGGGTTCCCAACTCACGGTTTCCGTGTTCGCTGGAAAATCGACCACTCGGAGCACGGTGCCCGTCTTGTTGGACAGGTCCGTGGTGCGGTTTTGAGCTGGATCAACCCATTCATCGTTAGATGCGGGGAATTGATGGGTCTCGTAGAGCACAGCAAAATTGCACTTGATTGCTGTTGGGAGACAAGGAATCACATCGTCGCCCACCACGATGCTGCGCCTTGTGGACTATGCCCGGTGACGATTCGTCGGGGGTGGGGAAACATGGTGGACGACATTTGGTTGTGAGTAGTAGTTATGGTCTCGACGGTATGGAAGACAAAAGAGATGAATAAAAGGCGGCTGCTCGAAAGGATATGCAGTCACTATTGCACTGCGTGGGCACTCAGACGCGACTCCTCCGTCGGATTAGGAGACGTGGATAACCCGAATATCCCGAACCAAAACCCGAACAATACCCCATGTTACCTCCAAGGCACTTCTCTCTCGGAAGCCGAACACCGAACGCCATAGTGGAGATACCGGAGATTATCTATTGGGTACCAGGTATCTGAACCTGATACAGAGATTCCGCAAGCCAATAGAGCTAATTGTTCCTGGGTCTTAATGACAGCGTACGGTCTGCATTATCTCACACCCAACGGGCGTCTCGATTTGATACAGGTCGAAGACATGGCTTAGATCGCTGTAAGGCGATATTGCCCTAATCAGCGGTTTTCCCAAAACCATGCCTCGTTGGTGGAGTTGGCTGGCCTGTTGTATCTTGGTATTGGACTTGGGTTTGTCCCTGGGCTCTCCCTTGTCTCTGAAATGTCCGATGTTACTGTCGTCCGTCTGATTTAAAGAAATAGTGGTATCTCTAAACTAGAGATGCGCCTTGCTAACCGCCTCTACACTACGAGACTTTACTAAGGAAGAGATATCCTATCAAGTTGTCTTAGTATTACAAAATTGTTGTCGGATACCTGGACACGCCTTGACTCGCAACAACATGTCCGGTATGCGCAGATCGAAGGATAACGACTGATAAATTCACCTACGTCATTCGCTGCATGAAAAAGTAGTTTTCCCTAATATGGCAGGGTTGGAGAAGATTGTTAGATGCTGGAGCTACCCGAACTGTGTTATTACTTAGTTAATTATACCAGCAGGATGTACCTTATAGATAGGTGAATAATAGAAGCTTATAATAGGTATCCTCTCTGAATAGAAAGCTAGGATTTAAACAGGACACTATCTCTTGGTGTGAGCTTCTTATGCCACTTGGCCAAAGACCCAACGCTGGTGGTTGCTTGTAGCTTACGCCCAACACTATCTTCTTACTATAACAAAGGGCACACAAGCTACAAAGCCTAAGAAATCTGAATTCCCTAAGCCAGATCCATCCATCTATAGATAGACGTTATGATATATTTACAGGTGATCAGCATTTGCGTACTAGTGGGAAAAGCAAAAGGGGAAGAAATGAAGAGATACAACTTTTATCAAGATGGTGCATCCTGCATCCAGTACGTTGCTCAAGTTTCTGTGTTTTCTATTTTGTTGTTTTTTCTTTCTTCTGCGGAGAGAAATACAAAAACAGGCAAATACTACCATACTAGATCATTCACTCCATCACGCTAGCGTCTCCCATCGTCCAGATGACCTTCATGTTCCAGCGCTTGATCTTCCACAACCCCTCGGTGTCGTCCCTCACCAGATCTAGGGAGTATAGGGAGCCAGCCATGAGATATGCTGCACCAGGTACCTTCCCAGTACCGGGTCGATAATGCTGTGATAGCACTGAAGCCGTCATCGATGCCACAGATGCCCCTTCTATGACGTCGACCCGGCCATTGCTGACAAAGTGGGTCGTGTCCAATTTCGAGACCCTGTCGTAGCACTGACGATAAATCTTATCCAGGCCATTCATAGTGTACCCATCGAGATCCAAAATAGCGTCAGGCGTAAGGGCAGAGTTGAGAAGAGCTGAGTCGGCTATATCAAATGCGAGTACGGCACGGTGAAGAGCATCGGCAATAGCCTCGCGGAAGGAGAGGGAAGGAAGAGCGGTTGTCATGTCTGTCTAGGTTCCAGACTTTTCTGTTTCTCAAGGTGCAGGACTTAGCGTTGTGGTGGTGTGTGGCAGGAAGTCACGATTGACATTCCTATTTAAATAAAACTCGCCTCGGGGTTATCAAACACGTTAGGGCTGTACCTGCAACAGCTGTGAGGACCGGATTTAGCGCCCAGGGGGTTTTATCTCCGGGAATCTACCAAATATCACCCGCCACTACGGAGTACAGAATATCGACGGCAGGATGTGGATGCCTCCATGGTCTGGCCTCCTGGTATTACTGCGTAATATTCCGACCTTCGGTTAATTTGACAGGTCTACGTCCCGAAAAATCACTCTGCCCCATTCAGAGCCGGCTGACTACTCACTGAGTCTGATCAACGCGCAAGGGATAGCGGGTGAAAATAAAAAATTCGGCAGAGCTTTCGAGTCGGAAACACGATTTCCGAGCTTTCAGAAACACATTGTAATTCTGTACTTCGTGATGTTGATATAGGGTCAATGATCTGTGAGCGACTTTTCTTGCTTCATAAAACCACTTCAAACAATACAGATGCAGATCTATTAAAAGATTAAGAAGCTATTCTTCTATACCACTGGTATATGGTTGATCAGTACAGGGCTTCTTGATTCCAATCGGCTTGTAGGCTGCAGTAGAGTAACCCGCCTATATATAATACTTTTTGGGAGTTTTCTACCTCCGGCCACCCACCGATGGCTCAAGGCATATAAAGTCCTCAAATTGAAGTGACTGACTTCTTTTTGGCTAGGTCAGACAAAAAGCCGTCTCGGCCTTTCTCAATTCTTTCCACATCCACCTGCCCAATCCATTCATTCACCCTTCTCCTACGATCACTGGTCTTTTGTAAAGAGTCCATTCCAAATCAATACTAACACATACCACTTAGCCATGAATCGAACGCCGGTCCCAAATGGTCAAGGAAATAATTAAAGTCTCCTCCGCCTCTAAGAGTCTTGGTCATAATAGGACTGCGCAATGCCCAACGCGGGCCAAGACCTGATGTAATGATCTTGTCTACTTCAGTCAGAGAATGCTGGAATACAAAACTCGGATCAAAGTGAACACCGACCAGTGTCTTCAGCTGAGACGACGCCCCTTGATATGAGGCTGTAGGCCTCGGCACACACGGCGGCCGCCACCCCATTGCAAATACCCGAATCAGTCTAGCAACTTCATGATTTGTGTCAACAAGTGTGAAATCGGTGTAATGAGATTCTGGCTCTGCGAAATTCGCGAGCTCACATAATGCTTGTCTAGCAATCGTTAGATGCTCATATTCGTGAACCCATGGCAACATACTGACGTGGATAATGCATCGTGTAATCTCTTGATAAGAAATTCGGCGCTTGAATCTCCTGTCTCGCGGCGTAATGTGCTAATGTGTGTCTTGGCTTCCATACTGTGGAAGAAGCAGCGTCTTGCAGGCTGTAAGTTAATTTGCGTAACCTAGAGACTGCGGTTCAAGCTTGTGATGGTCTGGAGGTGTGAATAAATAGACCATCAAATATCTATCTGTCCGAATGAACAACAAGAACGGAGGACAAAATGAATACTCAAACGTGTACGCGCCGGTACGACAGCGACTGCGTAATCGGCACCGAAAACGACACGGCATATCATTCCTAAGTCTAGGACAATAAGCAGATACTTGGTATTTTCATTCGAATCGATGAAACCTTCATGCGTGACCTAGAACGATGGTCTTGAAAGACCCTGCAGGAGTGAGCAGGCGTGGTATGGTATTGACGAACTTCTTTTTATTGTATAATATAGTATGATAGTGCGGGATGTAAATCTGCGGCCAAGGATCCCTACTGCTAGTACTCCTCAGCTCTTTAGCCAGATGAGACAGCCTGCCCCGTAGAGAAACTATAGTACAGAGGATTCTACAGTTTGTCCTCACATCTTCCCCAGTTCATTACGGAATGGTGGGTGACAGCATGTTGTTGTCCTTCTTAAAGGGGAATTTTGGAAGAATGTAATTGTTTATGATATACCGCTTGAATGGTATTCGTAGACATATTCACAGAGGGCTTCGTCGCTGTCCTGGGGTCAGAAGCGAGGACATCAGTTAATTAAGGTTCACCCCCCAGTTATCCTGGAGATGGAGATAGGGCACTCATGTTCCTGCCAAGCAAAAAAGGGAGTTTGTACATACTTTGTCGTTGCGGCCTTCTGCGGAGGGATCCCATGACTACGGAGGCTTATAGCGACCACTCCGCAACAACGGCTCTCCTCACAAGTCCATTTACCGCCTACCCATCTCACCACCGCCCTGTATCACAGTTATATAGCAGTCTCACACCCCAAGCGCAGGCATGGCTGTGAATAAATAAATCAGAATCCTGCCGTCTGACAGGTACACGATATTATTTCACGACCACAGACTCCTACAGCGCTTCGAGCTATGCAGGCCTTAAGAAACATCTTGAAACTCCGATCCCTGCGACCAAATCCCTCTCCCAAGTCTATGCTGGTCAGACGGCAGCTCTCTATTGAATTTCGAGGTGTCTATCCAACCATTCCCAGAGCTATTTATCATGCTGAGATACTAATCACATTATAGGAAATCCGATCTCGAAAGAAGACCTTTTCAAATACACGAATGGACGATTTCTTGCTGCCGAAGAAATCCAATTTTCAAAGCGTTATGTTCGTTTCAATATTGACCGATTATGTGACGTGATTACAAGCCTATCCGGATCTGAAAGAGCCCCAGTTTCGAAGATTGAAAAGCTGGAGGGCGGTTTTAGCAAAGCGCTCCTTATGACAACGGAGGGTGGATGTGAGTACATTGCCAAGATCCCTTGCCCTAATGCAGGGAGACCTATGTACTGCACGGAGTCGGAGGTTGCTGTGCTAAACTTCAGTAAGGATAACTCTCCGGGGATCGGCCACAACATCTCAGCTAATGGGCTTTGTTGTTTTAGTACGAACCTATACGACAATTCCCGTTCCCAAGGTTCTCGCCTGGAGCTCCGATGTGACGAATGCTGTGGGCGCAGAATACATCGTCATGGAAAGAGTTCCCAGCGTGCAGATTTTTAAGAAATGGGATGAAACGGGCGAGAGCAATCGCATCTCTCTAATTAAGCGTCTCACACAATGGGAACGTGAACTCTCTGAAATCCAGTTTCCGGCATACGGCAACCTATATTATAAGAATTCTTTGAGCGATCCTGAGATGATACCATTGGAGCCATCCATAGACCCGAAAGGTGAATTTTGTATTGGTCCTTCTTGTGATCCCTCCTGGCTCATTGGACCTGGAGATCAGCTTCTGTCAGGCGTCCGTTGTGGCCCTTGTAGGTATTGTCTCTTCTCAAGATTTTATGATTGCTCACTGATTTCACAACAGGGAGAACGCTTGGCGATATGGGCGAGTCTCTTATTGACCGCTCACTCTCTAGAGCCGGCCAGGACCCCAACACACAGCTACCAGCTTCTCTGTACGGTTCTTCGGAGGATCATATCTCTCTTCTTCACATGACGAAAGAAGCTATGCCAACCGTGGCAAATAATTCTAAGCTTTTGGAAAAGTCTCAACCGATACTATGGCATAGCGATCTCCACATGGGCAATATATTTGTCTCTGAGGATGACTCTGGAAAGGTGACTGGCTTCATTGATTGGCAGAATACTTCGATCAGCCCTTTGTTTCTACAAGTTCGATGGCCCGTCTTCCTAAATCCACCCGAGGACTATCAAGAGGGCCTTGTAATGCCTGGACTTCCCTCTGGCTTTGAGGATATGGACGATGAAGAAAAGGAACTCGCGTTGTACAGCAAAGCGAAGGCTACTTGGACGAAGGCGTACGAAGTTGCAAGCTACTTGAACAACAGGAAAGCTTGGCAAGGAATGCAAGTACCGTCGCCGCTAAAGGAGATATTCCGTCGTTGTGGCGAGACTTGGGATGAGGGTCTAGTGCCTCTCCGGGAGACATTGATTGAAATCTTTCTCAACCAGAAAGATTTAGGGTTCCCATCGGGAATTCCGCCGGTCCATTTTACTGACGAACAAATTGCACGGCACAAGCAGGAATTCTTGATTTACCAAGAATGGCACGAAATGCGCAAATTCGTGAAGGAGATGCTTGATACTGATGATGAAGGCTGGATTCCCCCGGAGCGGGACCTGGGTGAGATGAAGTCCCGGAACAAAATGTTATTTGAGTACTACATTTCAAAGATGGCCCCAGGGAAACCCCCTAACGAAGTTAAAAACATATGGCCATTCCCCCTGGATACATAGATTGCCTTGAGCTTGCTTTCTTGAATCCGACCGGAATCGACTTGATCTCCGCAGCATCCCTATCACGTTCACGTACACGACTTCGTGGCACCTGTACAAGATCCAGACCCCAAGTCAAGCCCTCGCGACGAGCTCTGGAGTTGGTATGCCGAGTTCACGAACTTCAGCTTTGTCTTTCGGACAGCAGACGATCCGTCGTTCAGCTACAATTTCCACGTATAGTCGAAAGCCATCGTCGGAATAAGACAGATACTAGGTTCTCGTCTAGATTGCTGGATTCCCCTGCCGGGGTCAGTGCCAGCGGCTTTGTGGACAGCACGTATCCGGACAGAACGAAGAACACGCTCACGGCGAAGTGGCCGCCTAGAAGAAATTCCGCACTCCTGGCAGACCGACAAAGTAGCACTGGTTCTCGTAACCATAGGCATTCTCAAAGATCCGGTCTTGTGAGATCGCCCCGTGTGCCCACAGTTGATGACGTATTCAGTACACCAGGACGGCGGCAAATCCTTGTAACCCATCGAGATACGCGGTGCGTCGAAGTAGCTTATTCCCACTGTTGGATTTAGTGAAAATAGCTAGTCGAAGGGTGTCTATACATCATCTTGTCGCGCGAATCTGGGTGGATGACAGTTTCCAAGTGCGGGTGGTGTCTTGTCAGTGCCTTGCTCCAACATACCGTCATCCTTTTTTGGTCTGCATCTGAAGCATCAATCTCCAGCAGAAGAAAGAAAAGACCTGAGCAATTGGAAGCTATATCCAGCCGGCGTTGTCAAATAACCGCCGACTACTTCGGTAAATTCATACAGTTTAACTAATACATATTGAATCGCCAAGATAGAAAAATATAGTATTTGGCTAATACGTACAGACATGTTACATACTAGTAGTTCTACTAGTATTGGAAGTTTCAACCAATTGCCACTGAACACCAACAGACATGTTCTAGGGTTTCACTCTTGTATAAAAACTGCTACCGTAATTTTGAGATATTTCGAATATTTTTAATATCAAAAGTGCTCCTCTCTCCCCCTGCACCCTCATTCTCTATGACCTGTGTGGTGCATCGCTCTCCGACAGGATCCCCCTTACGCCGATCAACAGTCCATTCGCCAACCACATCTCCCCGGCGCAGTGCGTGCGTGATCCGCGGCCGCATCCGAGCTTCCAGAGTATCGCCGATCGCCTCATACGGAGTACCGCATCAGGAATCTAGGCCGTTTTCGTCAATGGGTGGTCCAATTGCTGCATCTTTGGTGTTTTGATAGGCGGAATATGTACGGTGTATTCGAGCTTTATCGAACGGATAGAAAGCTTTAATGCTGAGTTGATAGGAGCCAAGATAACTAATTAATTAACTAGTTGTCAACATTGACTCATGTAAAAAAGGGACAAGGTCACATGTGGATCGGCTAACGATGTCACGAGAACGGGTTCGGTTGCCCCGTTTTGGGCCAGATTCTCGACGCCCATTCCCGCTCGCAGTGTTTGGTTTGTTTGCATTGCGATAGACTCTTCTAGCCATCATAGCTCTGTCGATTCTTCAAAGACAGCATATCCTGCCAAGACTCTCCTATAAATAGAATCAATCATGGGAGGTCAGCATTGTAATCTAAGCATCGTTCAGTTGTACGCTGGAATAACAAAGAATTAAATGTTGTCTATCATTATCTATCTCTATATACCGCTTTTCCTGTAAAACCATTCCCATATAACACAATCATAGAAAACTTAAATATCAGACACAGGTATACCGTATATATTAAGGCAACAGCGCGTAGTGATGGCGCTTAGTCAATGTACTTGGGAAGCGTCTTCAGGATGCCGTCCCGGGCGATGTCCTCCATCGCGGTGGTGATCTCCTGGATGAATCGCTTGTCGCCCCGCAAATCGTCACCGAACAGGCTCTTGATGCTGAGCAGCTCGGCCGGGTTGGTACCTCCTGCGCGGGCCTTGGCCTGGAGCTCCTCGCGCATTGGGTCATCAACCTGGAACGTCTTGCCGCTGTCATCGACACCCTTAATGTAATGGAACCAAGCGGCCGCGACGAAGCACAGGCGGCGGAATGGGCCAGTAACCCAAATCGCCTCCGCGATGGAGGGCATGATAAACTGTGGGATCTTGCCGGAAGCGTTGAGGCAGATGCGCGGCAGCTGGTCCATGATGGTTGGGTTGGAGAAACGCTCGATGAGGGTCTTGCAATACTCATCAATGTTAACCCCCGGAATCTCGGGCAACAACGGCTTCACCTCGTCCTGCATCATTTGCCACACAAACTTGCTGAACAGCGGGTTCTCCATGACCTCGTGGACATATTTGAAGCCGGCCAGCTGACCGGGGTAGCCGATGGCCGAGTGGCTGCCGTTGAGCAGGCGCAGCTTGTGCTTCTCGAACTCCTCGACGTCGTGGACATTCTTGACCACCTGAGCACCGACCTTCTCAAAGGGTGGGCGGCCATCGGAGAACTGATCCTCAATCACCCACTGCATAAAGGGCTCTGTGACGACAGGCCACGAGTCTTCAATGCCAAAGTTGTCTGCAAGGGCCGTTTTATCGGAGGCGGATGTCTGGGGGGTGATACGGTCGACCATGGCGTTGGGGAAGGCGCCTTGTTCAGCAATCCACTTCGCAATCTCAGGGTTGCGGAGGCGTGCAAAGGACTCGAGCATGTGGCGGGTGATGGATCCATTCTTCTGCATGTTGTCGCACGACATGACGGTGAAGGGCTTGAGCCCTTGCTGGTAGCGGCGTGCCAGAGCGGCATAGAGGAAGCCGAACGTGGTGCGTGGCGCCTTCTCGTTGGCCGGTTGGAGGTCGAACTGAATGTCAGGGTGCTCACTTTGCAGCTCGTGCGTGTTCTCGTTGTAGTAGTAACCGCTCTCGGTGATGGTGAGCGACACAATGTGCGTATCGGGGTGCGCCATCTTGGCAATGACGGCCTCGCGATCGTCGGGGGCAAAGAGATAGGAATTGATGCTACCAACAACATGGGCAAAGCTGCCCTTGGCCGACCGCTCGATGACCGTGTAGAGGTGGTCCTGCGATCCTAAGGCGTCGCGCATAGTGGCGTCAAAGGGCTGCAAGCCAACGCCGCAAATTGCGTAGTCAGTCACACCATGTTTCTCCATCAATTGGTCGACATAGACGGCCAAATGAGCTCGGTGAAAGCCGCCGACGCCGACATGGACAATTCCTTCCTTGACGGCGCCACCGCGCTGGTAGGTGGGAGCTTTGACCTGGGCTTCACCAGCCGCCGCAATTTGCGGCAAGTTCTTGCTGTTGAGCTTAAGGGGAGCCATTGTGAATGTGAGAGGAGGGAGAGAGAGGGACAGAGAGAGAAAGAGGAATTGAAAGGATGACAAGGGCGAGAGGCGAGAGATAAAAGGGGTTTTTGGCTGGGGCGCTGACTCGAGGGTCACCGCCAGTCTTTGACCGCTGATTAGAACAGGATTACATCATGTGGTGGGGAGGTGAACTCACGAGGTTCTCGAATTTTTCTGCCACCTGGAAAAATTCTGAAAGTACCAATTGAATTAGATAAGCATCCTTTCGTTTCTTTTTTCGGTTGCCGCTATCGGTCGCCGTATCACATTTAAACTAAAGCTGCTTAAGGTTTTCATGCACGAAGTCGCTTTTTGTCAATGGAACAAAAGGAAAAACTCTGAGATCCACCTCGAAAAAACCCTAAAAAGTGTCAGCTGTCCAAAATAGACAAAGATATAGATCTTTGGCAGTAAACTCCCACCATACCTGACCTCAATCCAAGCCAAAGCTCGAAAAATAGGAGAGAACAACTGGTGGCAAACTGGGACAATCTTGGATTGGGATGATGGCAAAGTGCCGGGACACTCCACAACCCCAGTGCTTCCTGGACCCACGAGAGGGCCGGGGCAACCCACTGAGCCATGGAACATGACCGAAGCTTCTCCCGAATGCTGTCGTCACTGTCAATCGCCGTAGGAACCTGCTATGTCCCAAGGACCGAAGTAGGCAGGAGGTGATCGGGCCGAGATCGTATTGGTAGCATGGTGTGGATTCCAGGCACTGAACCCACATTATCCGGGTCAGAGGGGCGAGCACGGTTGGTATTGTCAACATGGGGGGTGGCTCCTGAGACCCTCTTCTCCATCGATCCCAATAAAATGCCCAGTATCATATCGGTCTCTCCGGTGTGAGCATTAGATCGCGTCTGAGCACCGCCCCGTTATTCGAATCAGTACGGATACAGACCGGCTATACACTATTACCACACCGGAAGTTGTCTGAGGTCTTTCAGACAAGTCTCGCAGGAGGCGAGCTTTGCGTAGCGGGGTCGAGAGCTCCTAGTACAGAGTTTCAGCATCACGGAGTTCTGACTGGGGTTGATAGGAAGTTATACACATATTATTCGTAATTGAGTGGTAGATATAGATGGAGGTATACCTGATAAGGAAGTTCCCAGCAGCTAAGAAGGTAAGTTGATTGTATTCTACAGTGAGGGGTCTGTACAACCCCTCCCACCAAACACCCACGTGATCTTCGGCCGAGATCTTGTCAGCTGAATTTAACTGCCACGCATACAGCCCTATTTCCACTGCCGAGCTGCTTCTTCCTCATGACTTGCATGAATGTGACATGTAGACCTGCATGTATCATATAGTACCTGACACCCTCCTCTGCAGACTAGTGATGCCTATCGACACCCGCATCAAACTCGACAAATGGCCTCATCAAATTCAGGTATGTCTGCTCGATAGCGAAATGCATAGATGTCAGTCTGAAGTCTCTCGTGACCACGGAGCGCTGCCGGATGAAGCGGCGGTGTGCGTTTGTTGAGCCTGGAAGTCAGCTCCAGCTCCAGAAGGATGAAGACAATCCCTTAGTTCTCAATAGTGAGACACTAGCGCAAAACTTTACGGCCCGTCAGCGTCGATACCTCGCCGTCATATACCTCCCGGTCAGATGGAGCCCAGTTATGTCGGCATGTTGGAGAGAAAGAGGTTGTTGTCGATGCCACATCTTCTTAAACCACTAGGCTGCGTATTACATTTTCCAAAGCCACGATGCAAGCGCAGCTGTCATTACCTGCCTTCACAGCAGGAGAAATCAATTATGGATCAGGGGTGGCGCAAAGCGAGCAGACCAGGGTGATTCGTCGACACGTTTGTTGTGAGGTGGTGTTGTATAAGCTGATGCTAACCAAATTTGCGATATCTCAATCTATTGAACATCGCATATTGAGCTACCCATGATGGTGTCTATCTCCAAGAATCTTCTAAACAACGACATGTTCACACGCTCACTCGGTATAGTGGGACAATGGACGGTCGGGGCAACTGTTTCACATCACCACATAATATTAAATTTTGCACCGTTAAGAGGAAGCATCTGCAATGTCTCTTTGGCTATGCCAAGTTGAGGACGGAACCCCAAGGCCCCTTCAGCCAGCCGTCGATGTATGTACTCTAATCTGCTATCACCTTGATCCTGGGACCCTGCCAGCGTTTGTGGCCCCGAACAAACCAATCGATAATAGCGAAGAAAATCACCGCCAAAAAGACAGGCGCAGCATAGTTCATGTTCTTCGCTGTCACAGGGTATCTCGGGGGAAACGGGAGGAAGATGATAATGTATATTCCGTACATGATGACGAAAATGTTGAGCGGGATCCCCCAAAGTCCCAATCGGAATGAGCCCCAACGCACTTCCTGCGGTGCGCGGATGCGCTTAATTAGGAGGAAAGTGATGGGAATGAGGTAAGAGATATACTGGCCCAGAGTTGTCAGAGACAGGAGCGCATTGAAGGCCGTGGTGGAGCCGATGTTGATCAAGGCAAGAAGCACGATACTGGATGAGACTAGAAAAAGAGCGCGCAGGGGAATTTTGTGCCAGGAGGAGATATGTACAAAGTAACTGGAAAATGGGAGACCTTCGTCGCGCGCAAACGCCCAGGTCAGCCGGGTCACCGAGGCCAGCCCATTGAGCAAGGCCACAAACCCCGGCAATATGAACATCATCAACATTCCCGAAGCAGCTGCATTCGACTTCGTGGCTGCATACAAGATCTCAAGGAGTGGATAGCCGGTCGGAGTATTGAGAGCGTCCTCTACGCTGCCCATGGTGTACAAGAGACCGATGGTGAATCCCAAGGCAACTATGCCATTGATCAGGACGCTGTAGACCATGGATCGGGGAACTGTCCGACGGGCATCCTTAACTTCCTCTGCCATATGAACCACCCCGTCGAAACCTGTCCCAGCACAGCAGTCAGCTTGTCTTCTCTTCCTTTGTCACTAGGAGAAATATTGATATGGGGGAAATCTAAAGCCGGACTATACCACTGAATGTATAGACTGCAGTCAAGAGGCCAATCGACCAAATGACGCCATCATTTTGCCAGCCACTGGTGGAGTTCTCAAAATAGGTCCAAACGAACTCCGAAGAGTTGCGAGGGCCCAGCACAACTAAAGTAATCAGGACAACAGGGAAAAACACGATATGAATGATGCCACCGATCACTTCCACGGCGGGCAGCAGACGGCGACAGTAGATGTTCACGGCCAAAGGGATCAACAATACCGCCCATATAATCAGAGTGGTATGCCAGGGCTTGGGGATATAGCTCGGGTTGCTCTGGACCGCAAGGGCCTTAATTTGGGTTCCAATCAAGAAAGGCGAGGTGGCGGTATTGGCCCACCAAGCAAAGATCTACCATCATGTTAGAGAGAGAGCCATGCAACTAGATCAGATGGTTAGGGTGCCAGACTGTAATCCACCCTGTTCTGCGCTTAGTGAGCATGCATCGACACAAAAGCATGAATCTTACCTTGCATAAAGCTCAGGAATCGAGGAGCGCACGGAGCAAGATCGTAAGTCCAATGGTACTGAGCTCCAGCCACAGGGGTTCTGTTTTGCCAACAAGTTAGCCGAAACGGACTCATCACCGGAGCTATTAATCAAGCAATCCACCAACATCGATGCAAGTTCGGCCAGCGATAGAGCCATTCCTAGCGACCCGATAATTGTCAAGATCAGCCCGTAGATAAGGGCCACGGGGCCACCATTCTCTAAGCCTGCAGACATGCTAGCCCCGATCGCTTCCCAAGAAGCTTGCAAAGTCGCGGCAAAGGCCAACATGGGAAGGAACCCGAGATATCGCTGTTTATAGTTTAGAAAGGCAAATACTTCGATCCACTAATTTGGCCTTGGTTCGATAACCATACCTCAAGCCCTGGTTTCCGCTGAGACCCTTGACTCTGAGAAGGTGAAGGCTTACGGACGGTATCGCGAGGCAACTTGTGTTCGCCATAGCCGTGGGCCATTTCAATCTCATTGTATTCCATTGTTGTGACCGTTGAATGGGCTGTATAATGCACGTTCTTCCGAAAGAAAAGCCAGCGGGGGGTGCGTGGTTGAGAGCAGAGTACGGGGGGAAATGCTTACTGAAAAACAAAAAGGAGAAAGGAAAGAGGAGAAGAGAAGTCTCCCATCCTCATCCTGCCGACTGCGCTAAAGGTACAGCCTACTATGGTCATGGATGATACCCTGTCCAACCTCTGAGCTTTAGTCCCATGTAGTAAAGATCATCGAGGTTCTAGCCCTGGGCGGCGTCACACAACCAGAGGTAAGGCTACACTAAATATTACCGATACAGATTAAGAGCCTACCAGGAGACGTTTTAACACACTCAATAATAGTCTCATCTAACATGCTGTATCGATTTCTCTTTGTTGGAGTATACTGTGCCGTTTCAACTTGTTGGCGAGCTACAGATTGGAAGGATATAGGTTGTTATTACACGACTGCACGCAATCCCATCCGAAGAGAACAAGGAAGAAAGAAATGAATACCCCCAGGACAAATAGATTCCACATGAATCCGATCAGGGGCATGATCCCGCGCCGTCTAGAACATGATGCCACACGCACATCACTCACTCACTCCCCTTTCCCTTTCCCTCTCTCTGCTTTAGTCCCTTCCCAATCCTCTTGGAACCCTTTACCCCATGTTATCCTCATTTTCGTAACTCTGACCTTGGTTGTCTATTCCATTCCACGATGCCTATCAAGACTGATCCCCTACCCCCGCTTGAAGAGACAGGAGTGGACAACAATGGGCCCCTGATATCAATTGTTACGTTTATTTCTTTTTCTGTCTCATTCATCGTAGTCCTCATCAAGACTTGGTCCATGGTATATCTAAAGCGGGTGGTACTTTCCGTCGATATCCCAATATGGACCAGCACAGTGCGGCTTCCATTCCATGCAACACCGTCTCCAAATAACAGCAAGGGATTCACTCTCCACAGAGTAGAGCTAATATAGTAATAGATATTAGCGCTTGTTCAAAGCCTTCTGATACAGTTTGCCGTCGATCGTGGACTTGGAAGGCATCTCGAAGCCCTCTTGAACAGTACATTAGATAGGAACAACCAGGTGAGTCTGTCTTTAACCTTGAAGCGTGGTCGGAACCAGGAATCCAAGGATTCCCGACGCACTTAACTCCTTAAAAACACTACTGAAGACTCACCTTTCGCGGTAGCTAATGGAAGGATTTCCACAGCTGACCTATGCTGCGCAAATTATATTCTTTTTGGTTCTTGCCCTTACTAAAGTATCGTCGAGCAATTTGATCTTGTCGATCGACCCAACCCAATCCATTCAGATGTATTGCCACAGTACACAGATGGCCATTGCTGGGTGGACAGCGTTGGCAGTCTTTGGATTCGCCTTCCAATGCCAAACGCCACGGTGGCAGTATTTTCCTAGTCGCTGCCTTGGAGAGGTGAGCCGAATTTGAGGAATTGATCTTGGATCCGAACCCTACGCTCAGACGTCCTAGGGAGCCATCATGTATCCGATTGTGGCTATCAACATGTTAGTCGACCTAGCGCTTGTGGCTCTACCAACAGTCATGCTCTGGAACGTCCAAATGCCATTGGCTCGTCGCGTTAAGCTGATTGCAACATTTGCGTCTCGCATTGTGTAAGCCTCACGCACATTTAAACGGAGTAAATACATTACAACTACGACTGATTATGAGCAGAGTCGTTGTTGTTGATGGTTTCCAAATATCCCACCTGGGGCAATACCTACATTCTACCGACCCCACGTGTTCGTCATAACTTCCCTCCACATATCCGGAATCAGAGCTTGGCTGATGGAAACATTTAGGGTCGATTTTCAGGGTAACTGCTTGCAACCAGTACGGCATTTGAAGTTTCTCTCGTAGCGTTCCTTCCATACGGGACGTGTTTATTCTCCGGTCTGCTAACTTTGCATTCCGCCGAGCAGAGTGATGATGAACGCCGCCATTATCACAACGTGTATCCCCAACTTGTACCGTGTCATGAATAGCCTGGCCCTCAGAATGAACAGAGTCCAAATCCCTGAGGAGTTAGAGCTGAGCTCATCGAAGAAGTCTCATGGGGCAGAGTCTGGTTCCCACGATGTTGCTTCTTCGGGACCCAGCTTCCAGGCCGGAAAAGGTGTGCTCAAGGTCCTCTGCTACCCCCGAGATGCCGGTACGAGAGAAGATAGTAAATGTGTGCAGTGTGCCACTGTTTATGCCGGTGACCACGATGGGGCTGAAAGCACTGAAAGTATCATTGCATCACATGATACAGCCTCGGATCATGTCAGTGCACTGGAAGATGAAGATAATTCCCAGTGCAGGATACAGAATGACAGCTAGTAATTAAGTAAAATAGGGAAACGAAAATATCTTAAATTCAAGTTTCGAGTCTAGTATTATGAGTATATATCTCTTTCGTCAGTTCGTCAGGTTTTTGTATGCTAATGAAAACTTGAACTAGTTTAGCGTGCCACTCTCTATAAAACTCAAAATACGGGGGAAAAATTTGCTTGGCCCCCAAATTAGCGTCCTGCCTCGGATGCTTATAACAGCAACTACCCTTCCCCTATCCAGATTCCAAGCTGCTTTCGCTTGTATATCTTGGATTGAATTCCGAGACAGTTGGGTATAATGGCGCCATGGGGACTTACCACCTTGGCTCTCCTCACTACAACAATCAGCATTCTCATCAAACCTACCGGACACCCTTCACTTCTTGAAAATGTAAAGCGCAACGTACTCATGTTTTCTCCATCCCAGTCGGCGATCCTGGTCGTATTATTGCTCCTTGATTTAATTGGCTGGAGACTCTTGAGCCTCGCTGATATACACGCTGGCTTAATGATTCTGAACCATTATTATTTCACATCAGGCCCGTCTGGTCTCGAGCACAAAGTGTGGTGGCGTTTCACGCGGCGCGCGTTTCTCATGGTAGGAACAGTGCCGCTGTACGTGATTCTGCTAAGGTCCGAGCAGTCGCCATGGATCAAGGTCATCGTGACCCCATTGGTCGCTGATTCGATGTTGGCCGAACTGTTATCTTTACACTGGGACGCTTCGGATGAAGACTTGATCTATAATCGAGACTGGCCTCGTAATACGCTCGTTGTGAAGCCTGCTAACCCGCCCACTCGCAACCATCACGAGAACCGGGAAGGTGCAGATGAAAAGAAGAAGACAAATGAGAACAGAGATACGTCGTCATCTGTCACCACAGAGAATCTCTGCGAGCGGGTATACGGGCTCTGGTCGCCAGTAGCCGAGGCAGATGACAAGCAGGATCCACGATCCTTGCCTCCGAATGATGCCAACTTAGAAAAGATTTTCTCTCCCACGTACCAAGCCCCGGGGTACAAGTGTAGGCACTGGCGATGTCTCATCTATCGAGTAAAATACCTCGCCACTCGAATTGTCCGTTGGCCACTGTTATTTGGAGACCTGGCGTTGATCACCTGGCTGCTGCACCGCGACCTGCAGCCCGTGACGCTCCTAGTGGCGGATGCCTTGCTAGACATCCGCCTGTTAAAGGATCTGCTCACCCTGTCGTACTATGCATGCATTTTTTCGTCGGATGCATCTCTGTTGTGGTCGCTGTGAGGCTGTTATTCCGCCTGATGTGCCAACATATGTCCTTCTTACGGCGCATACAGCAGTGGTTCCAAGACCTTGCCACTGCGGCTCCAATCACCCACAAAGCCACCCGCATTTTCGGATTTATGATACTCTATATTCTGATCTTCTACGTCTGTAGATATCAGATCACGCAAATCCCACCGTTGTCACGGAATATCCTCTCGATTTTCATTGAGCTCATAGTGATTCCCATCTTTTACGCCATGATGTACCCGCTGGTCTGCGGCAAGGAAGCTAATGAGGGTATCCCTACGGACCCTGAACTCCAGCCTCAAGCCGAACCAACGTCGGATGCAGGCTCAGATCCGGATAGTACCTCCCAGGATAGCAATAAAGACGCGGGCAAGGATGCACCCAGTTCCCGCCAATCGGTGAATGGAGACCGCTTCCATATATTGCGACTTGGCTTGCTTATGTCCACCGCGACCATCTGGTTTTTTTTCTGTCGTTAGGATGTTTAGATAGATATGAGCCCTATGCCTATATACAGAGTGGTCAGCTAAATCGCTTTCTCGCAGTCTAGTCTCAAAATCTTGTTTGGACCTATCATTTCATCAACTCCGCCTAGGACCATGTATATCCGCTCCACTGGGCCAGCTATGCCGATTATGTGAGCTACGTCTGTAGTGTAGTGGGGCTTTGACAGAGCTCTTTAAGAGCTGATAGCATCTTTGGTAACTACTTTACTCCATAAGTTGTCGAAATAAATAGCAGAGGATAGTCACAGTTGTGTGTTGATCTTGTGAAGAGTAGTTCCGAAAGAAATGCATGACTGGCAATGCTTTCTTATCTCGCATCACTAGATAGCCGAGTATAGTATGCCGAAAGAGGACAAAGCATTAGCAATTTCAAACTATCGAGTTGGTTGCTTACGTGAGAACGCCTTTCGCAACGCCACAGATTTAATCAGACTTTAGAACCGGGGATCTGTGACAGATCGGTCTCTGCACACGATCCATAGCACCGCAAGAGCTTTGACGTTCAATCGATCCAATCCTGTGCACCGCTAGCAGGCAAGAAGCAGATGCCGGTCCCATGACACGGCGACAGCTGCTGGCAGATTGGGATATCAACCGGTAGCACCCATGCAACTAATAGATTTGTTCTGTTCACCCGTCAGGCTTTGGTATCCAAAACAAACTTATTCAATTGGCTCCTGAAAGTTAGGGAGGGATTAATATTCTTTACGCAAGTCCTCTAGGCATAATAATCCTAACACTGCGCGATATTACGTACCCATGTTGGTCTTCTCTCACTGTTCTTGCTCATGACACAGGAGGATTACTGAGATTCGCGTTGTCGCCAGGTAGGTAAGCCGGGGTATGGCCCACATTCCAACGTGCTTCATAAGAAAGTTATCGGTAAGAATGCAACTTTTGGGCGAAGCATGTAACAGGGGTCAAGACGTGTTAAGGAATGCTATTCCATTACGTATGTGCCACTAGCTGCTTACTGTCAGCACCAAGAAGCTCACTTTGACGGTGGCTCAGCCTTATCAAAGAGCTGATCAGTAGGTTCTCTATAGCAGATGACGAGTACAATGAGTCAAGGATTTAGAATATCATAATCTAGGTTCTTACAGAGAAGAATGTATTGAATTCACATTCCTTTGAAGACAAACATAATTCTGGTCCTGTTGTCTTCTAGAATACTTACCCGGATTCCGAACGGGTTCCATTGCTCGGGGTTTTATAACGTAATTGACAACAGTCGATGAAGATCTGCGAGCCACCAAACTGTAATTCCATCAATTCTTTCGGCACTATTTCTGAGGTGAAATCTTAAAATATTAGCTATAATAGTACATAGAGATTCGGAAAGATTGAAACTTTTAAGACTGAGATATTCTATAATAATTGTAAATTATACTATATTCTTCTAAGGGCGATTCTAAAATCTAAAATATTAAAAACTTTGCGGAAGTTAGAAGTATCCAAAATAGAGCTTTTTAAAATTCCACTCTCGGGATGCCTTGGCCATCTTTAGGAAAAAGTATTAATAATAGTAATACAAATCTGTAACACGTATTCCCTTTGATTTTCATCTTTTATCTTAATCTTTTCTACAGAGAAGATTTACCGTTTTAACCATCAAGAGTTGGCGGGGCCAAGACCGAAAAGATATATATCCGCACAATAGTATAGATATTTCCTTGCAAGGCTAGAACAACTTCAAGTTGCTGCCAAAGGTAACTTTTGGATAAAGTAGAACATGTCACTTTCTCTTTGCAATTATGGTAACATTGCATAATGCATAATATTTGCTACTATGGACTCTCCAAAACCGAGGAAGCCGAATTCAAGAATCAAGGATTGGAAATGGAAAGTTCTGCAAGGTTGTTGGCACCCCGCTTCGTAGCGTCTCCATGGTAATCAAGCCACGGAACGTTCGTTATCTATTTGTCCACCCGTTGGAGCTCCACAGTTCAAATCAAGCTACCCTAGTGACAACACAGATCGCACAATCTCTACAGAGTACTTGACGGACTATACCAGTTGACATATGCTGTGAAGCGTATACACTTCCAAGCAGTCGAGATAAAGTTGTTAAGATCGGATCGTAAGCAGCAATGTGATTACGTTCTTCCCTCCCTTCCATCTAGGGTTGAGACCTATGTCAGGTATCGCGGTACATTCTTCAGCCTGGCAAGTCCGGCGGTGTGCTTCACACTCCCCACCTGGTTCATGAACTGGTATATTAATTACCTAATGGGATCACGCCTTCATGATAGAGATGTAGCAATCGCGATATTGCGGATTTCACTTAATATAAACTGATAGGGCAGGTTTCTCTCGGCAAGAAAGAAGCGTCGGCTGGGCGGTGCTTGTACCGAAGAAGCATAGCGGGGACGCGATTAGTCTCTGCCGAGTCTGAATATTGCGGAGGATCGCAGTTCAGGTTACATTGAGCCAGAAAATGGTACAATTGTGGGAAGAGAGGGGGGGGGGAAGGGTTGAACACGAAGTACACGACGAGGAAAGGTACTTGGTTATTGATATGATGTGTATTTATAGTCAGCAAATACGAGTCACCGCCTCAATGTGGATGAGTACAGTCAGCAGTCCGAAACAATGCTTTTGTTGTTGTTGTGTTGTGTTGGTATTGTTTGTTCTTGGGTGCCTTGGCATGCAAACTGGACAAACAAACATCGCAAAAAAGACAAACAGATCGTAGGAACAGAAGAGACAACAGTTCAACATCTCACCTCAAATCGACATGAGTGAAACCCGGTATCTATATCGAACCGAACAGCAAGATGCAAGTTGTCAGCGACGTATCATGCACGCCCAAAATGGCAGCCGGATTATCGGCTTGGCCCATTCGGTGTCGCATCCCGAATTAGAATAGCGATCTCCACATCCCCTGACGATCGCATCTCACCTTGCATTCTGATAAGCCAGGGCGCGCGATTCCCCCATTGCACCATGTAACTATGCGCTGCGGGCTTGGCCGAATCCCCTGGAGTCAATCCAATCATGCTGGCCCGGCGAGGAGGGTCCCGACGGACGTCCGGTGCATTCATTGATTGCTCAATGGCATGCAGAGTCAGCTGCAAAGCGATGACACTGCGCTATCGATAACAATTACGCGAAGGCTGGTCGTCTAATCTGGAAATAAATACGCTCCGCATTCGCCTCCTTGGTCTTTCCCCTCTACAACCATTGTCCGCGATTTATCCCAGTCCACGATGTTCTTCAGCCGTGGAGCGCTTTCGCTCGCAGTGCTTTCACTGCTCAGCTCCTCTGCCGCAGGGGAGACTTTCGAGAAGCTGTCTGCCGTTCCCAAGGGTATGCGCCCCTTAGTCCGCCTCATGATCGATAAGCATGAGCTCTAGAAGTTCTCGGTCGCAAATACTAATTGTCTACTAGGATGGCACTACTCTAGCACGCCTGAAGACAACACCTCGGTTTGTCTGAAGATCGCCCTCGCGCAGAAGGATGCTGCTGGCTTCGAAAAGGCCGTCCTGGAGATGTCGGATCCCGACCACCCCAGCTACGGCCAGCACTTCACCACCCACGATGAGATGAAGCGCATGCTTCTCCCAAGGGATGACACCGTTGATGCCGTTCGACAGTGGCTTGAGAACGGCGGCGTGACCGACGTTAAACAGGATGCCGACTGGATCAACTTCTGCACTACTGTCGAAACCGCGAACAAGCTCTTGAATGCTCAGTTCAAGTGGTACGTCAGCGATGTGAAGCACGTCCGCCGTCTCAGAACCCTGCAGTATGACATCCCCGACTCGGTCGCCCCTCACGTCAACACCATCCAACCTACCACACGTTTCGGAAAGATTAGCCCCAAGAAGACCATTACACACAGCAAGCCCTCCCAGTTGGACGTGACCGCCCTTGCCGCCGCTGTCGTTGCAAAGAACATCTCGCACTGTGATTCCGTCATTACCCCCACCTGTCTGAAGGAACTTTACAACATTGGTGATTACCAGGCGGATCCCAACTCGGGCAGCAAGATCGCCTTCGCCAGTTATCTGGAGGAGTACGCGCGGTACGCTGACCTGGAGAACTTTGAGAACTACCTTGCTCCCTGGGCTAAGGGCCAGAACTTCTCCGTGACTACCTTCAACGGTGGTCTCAATGATCAGAACTCCTCGTCCGATTCCGGTGAGGCCAACCTGGACCTGCAATACATTCTCGGTGTCAGCGCCCCACTGCCCGTCACTGAGTACAGCACCGGAGGCCGTGGCCCCCTCGTCCCTGACCTGACCCAGCCGGATCCCAACGCCAACAGCAACGAGCCGTACCTGGAGTTCTTCCAGAACGTGCTGAAGCTCGACCAGGAGCACCTTCCCCAGGTCATCTCGACCTCCTATGGAGAGAACGAACAGGTAGACAACTTCCTCACCGTTGATTCTTGAAGCACATACTAAATGATACCCAGGAAATCCCCGAGAAATACGCTCGCACCGTTTGCAACCTGATCGCCCAGCTCGGCAGCCGCGGTGTCTCCGTCCTCTTTTCCTCTGGTGACTCCGGTGTTGGCGAGGGCTGCTTGACCAACGACGGCACCAACCGCACTCACTTCCCTCCCCAGTTCCCCGCCGCTTGCCCGTGGGTCACCTCAGTTGGCGCCACCTTCAAGACCACCCCTGAGCGCGCCACCTACTTCTCCTCGGGCGGTTTCTCCGACTACTGGGGCCGTCCCGAATGGCAGGATGAGGCCGTGAGCAGCTATCTCGACACAATTGGCGACGCCTTCAAGGGTCTGTACAACCCCTCCGGCCGTGCCTTCCCCGACGTCGCGGCCCAGGGCATGAACTTCGCCGTCTACGACAAGGGCACCTTGGGCGAGTTCGACGGCACCTCTGCCTCCGCCCCGGCCTTCAGCGCTGTCATCGCTCTCCTGAACGATGCCCGTCTCCGCGCCGGCAAGCCCACTCTCGGCTTCCTGAACCCCTGGCTGTACAAGACCGGCCGCCATGGCCTGCAAGACATCACCCTCGGTGCTAGCACTGGCTGCACCGGCCGCTCTCGCTTCGGCGGCGCCCCTGACGGCGGTCCTGTTGTGCCTTTTGCTAGCTGGAACGCTACGCAGGGCTGGGATCCCGTCACTGGTCTCGGCACTCCCGACTTTGCCGAGCTCAAGAAGCTTGCCTTGGGCAACTAAAGTTTTGTTTTATATAGATATAACAGATACCACTATGTACAATGTGTCTTAGATGTGTTCAATACAACTGTTCATAAATACTTACACTACAATCCAATTAAGGTTGTAATTCTGGTCTGCTTACGTGAGGGTCAAGTATGGGGTACAGTAACATCATCCAATAGACCTCAGTCCTCCAAAGCTGACAACACATTAGCGATATGACCCCCACAGTAAGTGCTGGTTTGAATAATATTCCAAGCCAAAAGCGGCGGCCAATGCTCGGCCTCATCGCCGAGAGAATACCCCCCACCTGTACGTAACAGACGAAAACAACATAAACAAATTGCAAACCACCCGACGTCATAAATAGCCAGAGGTATCACCCACCAAAAACCACCATTAGTATATACATCCCCCCAGCTTAAACTATACCTAATTCCCACCAAGACTAAATCCACCCAACTCAATCCACTCCCACATTTACCGAACCATCCCCTACAAAGCCAACAAAGCCCCCACAGCAACAGCCCCCAGCTCCAAGCCCATATAACCCGTAATAGCAGGCGCAGCATTAACTGTACCCGTCTCTCCGCCCTGCGCAGCGCTCGTAGACGAAGCAGTCGTACCGGCACTATCATTTGCACTGGAAGAGCTCGAAGCGGATCTGGAACTAGAACCGGCCGTAGACCGAGTTGCCTGGGCCGATGTCGTGGGCGAAGTCGCAGACCGAGAGGTCGAGTCTGCGCTGGAGCTGGAGCTTGAATCGGATTCGGATGTAGGAAGACCGGGGGATTCGGCTGTCGTGGGGCCCGCGCCTCCAGTGGTTGTAGTTGCGTCTGAGGTTGCGGGGGCGCCGGTGTTGAACATTGTGCTGTCCGCTGGGGTGTGGACGGTTACTCGTGTTGCTTCGCCGGTGCAGCGTCTGTATTGGTTCGTCTTGGGTTAACACATGGTATATAGGGGGGATAGGTAAGTAAGTAATTACCCCATGAAGCCATTGCAGCATCCGACGAAGACGTTGCCGTCGAACTGACAGCGTTCGGCAAGGTTACAGCCGACTTAGTCTTATTAGTATAGGTTCATCAAAACTAAGAAGAAAGGTAAGTAACATACTTCCGCCGTTATCATGGGCGCAACAATTCGGCGAACATCCAGTCCCACAACACTGTCCAAGAAAACACTGTCCACCATCAGGACATGTACCTCTCCTCTCCAGACCGGCCTCCTCGATAGGCGTGAACTCCCTACTCGCCAGGATCGGGGCCCGGAGCGCCTGCGCTTGTTCTTGTTCTCCCCGCGCAGCAGCGAACGCGGCAGAAGCCAGGAGTAGCGAGAGTGTATTGGCGATATACATTCTTTACCAAGTTTATCCTGCTGTATGAAACCTGGAACCACGGTACATAGACCCAAGACTAAGAAACGATGGAAAGAAAGAATCGGAAACGTCTCCACTGTCCAGCAATGTAGTAGTATTTAAGCCCTTCAGCCTCAACGTGCCTCGCTTCCCGTCTCGTATTCGAACTTGGCACGGGCCCATTGATCTTCAGTGTTGGCGGGCTACTTGGGAAGATCCTAATACGGAATAGGTAAAACGTCAGTTCGTTAATTTAGGGTCTCGTATTCAGGGTCTGTTTGTGTGTTGGGGTTGTCGGGGCTTGCCGATCTGATATGCGGGATTGAGTCATTGGCTTGGGACGGAGTAGAGTTTACTGGATGTGACATTTTCCAGAACAATGTTTACGAGACATGGAGACTGCATAAAGCTGAATAGCTAAGCATTATGCTGGGTAGATACCATGGTATCCTGCCATTGATGGGTAGGGCTGTGGTGGATCCCCTGGTTGACTCCAGGATTTGTCGGTTACTCTATGCTCATGATTTTTGTAGAACTGACTACCTGACTCAGGTCTCTTATCGAAAATTTTAGGAGAGGCTTTGTCTGGTGCTTGGAATGTGTTGATTATTTACAATGGGTCCTACATTAACGTTGAGCGTGTCTCGTTGCTGGCAATATGTTGACAAGGCCAGCACTAGACGCTTGGCCGGTTCTCTTAAGTTCCTTCTTGCCTATCGCGGCCCTTCTACGTAATAAGTAGCGCAAGCATACCTCATGTGCCTATTACAGAGGCGAGTAACGATTTGACAAGTCAAACCGAAGATGGTGACTGACCCGTACCACCAGCAGAACCGAGGTTGTTCACGCCGATCAGTATAAGAGGACAGCACGCTTGGATGGGTAGACTTTCAACTAATGGTCCGTAGGTGGAGAGATGACATACAACCTCAATGAGATGGGCTTTTCTATAGGTCGCTGAAACGGGAAATGGACGGTATTTGGCTATAACTATGGGGGTGTTATTTTGCTTTGTTAATATGGTACTTGACTTCGAAGAAAAGGCGCAGGCACCGATCAATACCGATGATTCCCTTTACAAACGCTATCTTCTTATGGCTATCACCAACATGAATTTTGTAACGACTCGGTGTCGTCTGCAGTTCAATACCCTCTGCACGCCCTCAGTTATTGAGTATTGAAAGGCGAAGAGCAAGGTTAAATGATAAAAGAAAAAATGATACCTAGAGAATCTTGCATGGAAGACAAGACGAGGTTTTCATTGTACACTTAACGGCAAGGTAGGCCTCCCTCGCGAACCAATATCCCTGGTCTAAAAGTGCTACTTTAATTCTTACGCCCGTGTATAACACCAGTCATAGCACTGGCATTAGTGATGTTAATCCTTCTCATCCAATCCATCATTTAGCCTACAGATGTCCCTGTCACTCTGTCCTGCACTAGCATCCTGCCCAGCCATCTAACAGAGAGATACCTGAGCAAAATTCTCATGCTCCCAGCTAAATTTGGACGTAGGTGCCTCGGAGCTGATCGCAACTCTCTTTACTACAGCTGCACAGCCACTGCGGAGCTTACTGGGTAGTGCCAGGCACATATTCACATTAGCGCGAACCATTGGAACGACCAGTGAAGCCTGGCGTCATGGTTCATTGACTGGTGAAGTTCCTGACTCTTCCGTATAGATGTCGCAATGCAATAAAAGTGAGGACAAGCCATAGAAAGGCTCGAGGCACCACTGAGAGCAAAGGGAATACTTACTGAGAGTCCTGAAGTCTCCAAATTGCCTAAGTTTGCGTTTCTACTCGCAAAGATGAAAACCAGAAGCCTAGTGCTGCGTCACCAGTAATAAGAAGCGCTGGTTAGAGAGTTCAATGCGCGTTCAGAGGTCAGTTCTGCTAAGTACTTGCCTCCCCCTAGTTCTATGACCAAGGTATACCACCAGAAATCCTCTCTTGTGAACCTCAATGCAGTCGTGAAGTCCCAATACTCATGGTACCAGCCTGTGCATTCCCAGTCAAGGAAGCCTGCAATCCGCGCCTTGTTAATCAAGATATTATGGGGTTTAAGATCACCATGAGTAAAACAATGCGATGAGACAGCTTATGCATAAGCTTCGCGCACGCGAGTGCATCGTTGAATGCCATCTCAGATGAGAAGCCACCTGACCAAGATGGTTGTATGAGATACTCGTTGAATTCTTGTTCGCATTCGAACGGGCCGGCATAATGATTAGAAATGCGGACACTTCTGACTGCAGTGCCCAATGAAGAGCAAATTCTGTTTCCACCCCACGGACTCTGCCATCCTCGTATCACTTCTAGATAGCCTTTAAGCTCCCGTGAGATAGACTCTTTGTCTTCGTTACTAAGCGTGTCGTATACTTGACCCAACTCTTCGCCAAGCACGCGAGTCATCCGAATCGAGACTGGTGCGTGTGGTGTGTCAAGATGCTCTCCGTAGCAGAGGACTCTTGGAACTGGAAGACCCACTCTCCTGGCGATTTGCATAGCCAAGACTTCTTCTATCCGTGTACCATCGGACCATTTCAGGATCAGGCCAAATGGAAGCTGGGCAATCTGATTATCGTAGGGAATCCCAACCCAGCTGCAATATGATCGAGAAAATCGTCGCATGTAATAATGTAGAAACCCCCAAAACCGGCGAAGAAACGGGCGTGTCGGGTTCAGAAGTGGCTGGCATCTGGTTTCTCGACGAAGGCCCGACATTGTTCGGCCATGTATATTCTGGCATGAGAAAGCGAGGCAGTAACCACTGTTTCATGACGGGTAATGAGAATGACACAAGCAACTAAATGAGTAAAGGTGGCACGAGAAAAGCAGCGTCATCCAGACACGCCAAGATGGTGAGAGAGGCTTTGGCTTTCATATAGAAGTTGAGAATCGTGGGCAGGTTTACATTGGACGTGTAAGGGAGCTATACCGGAAATGGAAAGGCTGGCACGGGTCCACAGGGTCGTCACGTTTACTAAACCGAGGGATACGAGACTAGCTGGTGAACCTAGATCCTGAGGATTTATTAAAGAAAGATAGGAAAGAGTAATATCTGGTCTTCACGCTAATTATATAGAATACCTGATACAACGGCGTAGAGGATAATGACAATGTATTCCCGACACTTAACCAATTGGTCTATTTCTTCTTCGAATCCGGCTCAACTGTCCCCTCATTCTCCAAGCGTTGCGCCACAATCATCTGCGCAATGGCATCCTCCGTCTTGAGATACGTGCGACTTCCCTGAATGAACCAAAAGCTGACAGACACCACCACCATCACTCCGAAGACGGCAATGGCGTAGTTCATATCACCCGCCGCTGGGTTCGGGGAACCAGGGAAGAAGAAGAATACTGTGGTAATAGCACAGTAGATCACACTGATCCAGTTCAGAGGCTTGCCCCATCGCCCGAGGTTGAATTCGCCCGGTGGCAGTTTGTCCCGTCCGACAACGAGCAGAGCGGCGATGGGCATGCCATAGGAGATGGTGAGTGCGATGGTACTCACACTGAGGATGGCCTCCAGCACCGTATTTGCGAACAGATAGAGAATTCCAACTAAAGCGATCAGAACGCCCTGGAACCAGAGGGAGCGCGCGGGCACTTTCCACACGGGGTCCACGTGGCTGAGGTATCCGCTCCAGGGCAAACCGCCGTCGCGTGCGAATCCCCACGTCAGTCGAGACGCGGTCGTTAGGACACTGATTCCTTGTCCCAGGCCGTTAAAGATGAATAGTGCGATCAATGTTGCGCCGCCTTTTAGTCCAATGGTCTCGAGCATCAATTCAATGAAAGGTAGTCCGCTGGGTGAGTCGACCACCCTGTCCACATCCTGGATACAGAAGAGACAGACGACCATGAAGATAAAACCGGTGACAGCGCCAAGTAGCACAGCCAGCCAAATAACTCTAGGGGCGTTCTTTCGGGGGGCCGGAATTTCTTCCACCATGTGAATGACCGCGTCGAACGCTGTCAGACCGTAGGCGGCCTGGACGAGCCCTGTAAACCACACTACACCGTCGCTCCAGCCAGTCTGGTTGATCCATTTGCCGAACACGAAGGATGCTGGTTGGAAAGATAGATCTTTCTTCACTCCGACCGAGATCAGCAAAGCCAGGGACAGGATGACGAACAATCCGGTGAACCACACGCCGACAAAATTGTTAATCCAGGGGAGGATTTTCTCCCTCCGGCACCCCACCACATTGATCACGGTCAAGAGCAGCACACAGCCGATGTAGACGAGAAATTCCAGCCACCCGGTGCCGGCTCCCCCCCACGAGGGCTCGAACATGACCTTCATGCCAAGAAGAAACTCGGTCATGAAGGCGATTTGTGATGCGGTCAACGTCCACCAGCCGAAAGTGTTGATCCACGCGCACATGTACGAAGCAAAGCGACCCAAGGGGGTTTCCCATAGTCGGAAGACCCAGTACGCCTGGCCCAGCGCTGTCGGCATACTGCTGGCGAGCTCGCCAAGCGATACAGCGACACAGAGGTTACATGCTGTGACCAGCACCAGACCCCACAGAATAGCCACAGCGCCACCGTTGGTCAAACCGCTGCTGAGATCCTGAGCAAAAGTTGAATACGTTCCTAGATCGTTTGTCAATAACAGTCTTTCATCCCTTCTGTAGAGGGTCCATACCAAGGACGCAAAATGCCAAGGCTAACATGCTCCACATATCGAATTTACGCGTGAGGGCCTGGTCATGGCCCATTGCCGCGAGATCATGAGCATCTTGCACATCTTGATCAACCAAGTGCGGTTTAAGGGGGTCGGAGTTGGATTCCAGGTCCATACGGAGATTTGATCACGTATGACGAGATGATGAGAGTTCAGCCAAGGGGTGGACAAGTCAATTCGATGGGCAAGTGGTGTACCCTACTGTCCATTTTCTGCCCGTACTTTTTCTGGAGGAAAGTTTCCAAGAAGCTGACGCTGGGGGGTTCATATATCAAACCGGTCAGCTATACCCCGAGAGGGGAA